ATAATTATTAATCAGAGGCATTTCTACTGCACCACACTGGATGCTGTCATGTTTGAAGGTCTGATTCTGAAAGGAGTCTTTTTTTCATGCCTATGGATTTTAGAACAGGTTTTATAGATGAGGATGGCCCCTGTGCTGTTGGAGCACTTTGTGGACCCTCATGCCTGTGAGGTCTAATTACAATCAAGTCCAGTGGTGATGTTGAGATGCTACAAAAAGCCCTGCTTGGCTTCTTCCATCCCACTGCCTGCAAAAGCTAACAGCCAGCCCATTTGGAGGAGAGAAACGTTGTTTTTAACCAGCCACTAAGCAAAATAAAGGTACTCGGCTTTGTTCTCCACTTCTGTACGTCAGACTGGAAGTTTTTGAGGAAGATTGTGTGGTCCAGGTGGGTGAACCCATCCGTCATCCTGTGCATGCTGCTCATCTTGCCATCACATAGGGAAAAATTCAGTATGAAAACTTGATCCTGTTGGCATCATGCACTTTGTAACAACTGACCTGGTCTGTAGTATAAAGTGTCAAGAGGAAATATTTCATTAATAATCCTGCCACCAAATCCTTCCAGTTTCCTTTCTATACAGTGACTAAGAGTAACATTTATATATGTACAAGAACTCTATATGATTTTGTAATGGTTGTTTCAAGAACGGTCATTTATGCAACACATTTATCCCATGACTGCAGGAGCACTGGGGCCATTGGAAATGTGGTTTAGGATGAGGGGACCGAGGTGGTGCTGCCAGCTCTTTAGACTGCAGCCTGCAATTAGAGTCACTTAAGCTGACTGTGAAACTACAGGGTATTTGGATTTTCCTCCACAGCTTGTAGAGGGGAGCAAAGTGAGGATAGCCTTAAAGCACAAAAAAGGCCTTGTTTTTGCGAAGGATCACTCTGATCTGCCAATGGGCACACTTTAAAGGTCCATGGACATGAGGTGGAGAAATGGCTGGTAAAGAGAAAAGGCCCACAGACTGAAGAGCTGAAAGTCACTGCAGAATCAGCCTTTATCTGTAGAGATCCTGCATGATGCCACACAAGCCATTTAAATCATATATTTGCATGTGACTCTGGTTATTCTCAATTTTCTGAATGCCTGACACAAGCTCCTGGGCCAGTCACACTGCTGCAATTGAAGCCAATGTTTCCAGAGGTCTCTGTGTGATGAGGAGCTGCTGTACCCATGGTTAAGGGTACAGGGAGAATGGGGGGAGGCAGGAGCCACATGGACTCCCCAACTGGTATGGTTAGACAAGATTTGGGTAAGGCACAGCTCTATCTCCATGCAGAGCAGCTCTGCATGAATGACCTTCTATTAGTCACCATTTCTCAAGATAGGTCTGAAAATGTGTGGTTTATTCTCTTTTCCTGTCCAGAGTCAGAAATTCAGAGATGACCCCAGTGCCTGCTTAAGACCCCAGTGCACCAAATCTCTGGCAGTTCTGGGTCATGGTGCCAGGAAAGCCCATTTCTGTGTTACCTCAGGCTCTACCACCGCCAAGGAAGGATACAAAACAGCCACTGCTTCACAGGTTCCCCATTGCTCAAGGGGTATAATGGATTAAGCAGTGAATGCATTAAATGATCCCTAACTATAATTAGCTCCCTCTGTTCTTGTAACACTACAGCCTCATACAAATGGTTTCTAATGACACATGCAGTGTCTATGAACAGGGTAATAGCTATTTAAACAGTTGCTGATCCCTAAGCTGGTACATGACAGTGTATTTTACAATTATTGAGAAACTATGAACATTTTTTAAAAGTGCCCTGGGCATTGACCTAGACAAAAGCTTAGTTAGATGAGAGCAGAGATTGTGCCCTTCCCCTAATGGTAACAGATAGGTAATGTTCCAGCTGTCAGACATTACTGCTGCCCCAGTCTTGACTGTCCCCATTACCGCTCTTTCTTTGCAGTATGATTAGCTAAACAGATATAGCTTGCTCCCATAGTATAGGCACTCATGCCCACAGTACAGTCACTCAAGAAAAGTCAAGACAGTTTGATGAAAAATATTCTTGTATGTGTGTTTCAGTTAAGTACGCCAACATACATAATGTTCAGAAATGAAAGCTTGCTCATTTAATGCTGGATCATAAGATCATCAGGGAGTAAGACCTATCAAATGTAAAAAGGTGGAAAGGCTGTCAGCCACACTGGGCATCTGGGGCCTTTTTGCATGGACCAAGTTTCAAGCTCAGGGTTGAAGCATACAGTTTCAAACTTTAGGATGCTATGACTTTTTAAAATAATAATCTCTTTTGATCTTGTTCCTCAAGCTAAGAATGAGCTTTTTATTCAAGAACAGTTTATTGGAGCAAGAAGCATGGAAAATTTCATCTCTTTTGAATTATGAAGCCAAATAGCAAAAGCTCAAAAGAAAACAAGTTCGCAATCTCAGCTACGCCAATAGTAACCAGCCAACCCACTGGAGATATTTTAGTTACCAAAAATAATCAGAAAGTATGCCACAGTTCCTGAAAAGCACATTGTGTCAAAAGAAACATTCATTTCTTACATGAGATGAAAAATTGTACCCCGTTAGAAATTTGTTTTTATGAGGACAATGTGTCTTAACACCTTTCACCTGACCTTGAAATGACAAAACGCCTTATTCACTTTGGTGATCAGCTTTCACTTCACAGGAAATGGAGAATAAATTTGATTTTCTCTTTTATAAACACATGCATGCACACATACAGGCTAATTTAAATGTGATTTGCTGCTATTTGAATACTACAGATCTATCTCAGCATGCAGAACTGCTGCCAGTAAAGCCTGATCTACCCACTGATGGCAAGACAGCATGAATGACAGGGCAAAGGAGGACTCCTCCAGCCACCCAGATCTAAGACCTGATACCCGAGCCAGTAACTGAGGTTTTCTACCAATTTCCTAATTTATGGCCTCATGGAGTCTCAGTCAGACAGGCAGTGAATGTATATGGCTGCAAAGCCACACTAAAACCTGCTTCGCTGTGAGGAAGACATAAATACATTCCATTTGTAGTGCTCTTTGCTCAAAGCAATATCAGAGGGAGAAGCAGAATTGCAAGTTTTCAGGTAAGCAGTATTTCTCCATTTTCAATTTGGAGGGTTCAAGATTGCAGTGAGGAACAGACCAGTAGTGCAAGAAAGCTAAACTGGGGATTAATCAAATATTCTAGTAAATTTTGTCTAACTTGAAATATACCAGTGAGAGACAATGCTATCACTGAGCAGCAGAAAAGAGAAAACATGCATATTCCTAGCTTTTTGGGGGATTGTAAATCTGCATTTGTTTAAAACAAAGTTCATGGCCTTTACTTAATGCATCTTTGACTGCAAAGTTGCTATATCAGAACTAACGTTCATGTTAAAAAGCATTAGCATTTTAACTAAATTATGGGGAGACTGTTCAAATTTCTCTCCGAAGTGCTTCTGCGTAACAGCGGTACTCATCTTTCTGATAGTTATTATCAAATAATTCCTGTTGTGTCCCAGCTTTAGGGACTGACTTTGTCGAAGTAAATTTGCCATGTTCCACAAGTCATTGCAACAAAGAAGAAACAGTCATACAGGTAACATGCTAAATGCTGTTAACTGAATCACATACAAAGGCTTTCCAGAACTGAATAAGGTGAAATTTCATCCTTTTTTTTTTTTTTTTTTTTTTTAATTGTGTTGATTTCACCCTGAATGTTCAATGTAGCACTGTTTTTGTTTAAAGATGCTCTTTCTGGGACAAGGGAGAAGTTCTAGGCTTGACAGTACCCTGTCTAACACATTAGAAAATCTCTTTAAAATATTTTCCTACACGAAATGAGTTGGGATCTGGAGGAGTGGTGCTCACCTGAGATGCTGAAGACACATAGTGACACACTTCTTGTCTCACTTGAGATATCCAGATCTGAACTAGTCTCCTTGTATCAACAGAAAGAATTGGTATGCTAAAAGAGTAAACAATGTATATTAGAAACCTCAATTATGGGTAGGTATATTATAACCTGGAGGAACTTACATCTCTGCCTTGATGATAAAGGGAGGTTTAGGATGACTGGCTCCACTTTAGGCATCTAACTTTCTGATACCTGACTTTAGTTAAGATGATTTTCATCCTTGGTTGCCATTCTTTCAGGATAAAACACTACCAAGAAAGTTTATGTCTTGAATTCACTGTGGAGAGATCCAACTTGGCTATGGCAGACAAGAAAGCACTTCAGAAACAAGTCTATCTTGCTCAAATTGACATAGAATGGGAACCAAGATCAGGGACTTCCCTCAATATCTGTGCTTTCATTTTTCCTCTGACCTTTGAGGGGATTTTAATAATTTCAGCCAGTTTTGTCATTATGAAGCTTGATTAAAAAACAAAACAAAATAAAGAGAACTCCCCCAAAAAAAACAAAACAAAACATTTATACTAGTTTTATACTTCGATGACTCCCAGAGAATCAGATCATGTTCAGGGAATGAGTCACAAATGTCACATTATGGGAGCATCAGGTCCTGAGATCTGTATCTGAACCTAACATCTTTCAACTTTCATGAAACCAGAACTGCATCTCTGTTTCATGAGCATGAAACACTGATTAGCTCAGATTAATGAAGATAATATATAGTTCTGCTTTCTGAAAGGTTAAGACTAGTTCACAGTTTCATAAAATCTAAGCCCAAACTCCCTCTAGATCTCTAAATGTCTGCTTCCTACTCCTGAGGGTTTACAGATAAGCAGCATTTGTCTTTGTCAATGTAGGAGGCTAAATGAACTAAGAGTTAAATTAATAATTATCAAAATAAAATATAAAGGAGAGGAAAGGGTAAAATTAAACATTTGAATAGGGTTATCTAGGTCAGAATGGGTATGTTAGCAAATCCCCATCTCCTCTCACTACTATATCTTCTCAAATATAGGGCATCTTCTCCAGCAACAAAAGGTTTAACTGAAAGCATTTGTCCCAACAAATCAACTAAAACTAAACATCTGATTTTTGTAAAGCCTTAAGAAGATTTCTACAAGCATGACATCTGAATCCACCAGCAATTTCACTGCTCAACCAAGCCACACAGATCCATTGACAAGCTGCAAAGACGAAGATTTCTTACAGGTGAAATTCTATCTCTCCATCCTTTACAGCCTAATCTTCCTGGTGTGCTTCCCAGGGAACATTGTGACAATTTTTGTTTATTTTACTAAGATGAGGCCCTGGAAAAGCAGTACCATCATTATGTTAAACCTGGCCATCACTGACCTATTGTATGTAGTCACACTTCCTTTCTTTATACACTACTTTGCTAATGGAAATAACTGGATTTTTGGAAACTTCATGTGCACGTTTATTCACTTTTGTTTCTACTTCAACATGTACAGTGGTATTATCTTCCTTAGCTGCTTCAGCATCTTCCGCTTTTTGGTAGTTGTCCACCCAATTAAATGCCTTTTCCTTCAAAAACAGAGATGGGCGGTGGTGACCTGCGTAATCGTTTGGGTGATTTCCCTGGTGGCCCTCAGCCCCTTGGCCATCTTGATTGTCCCAAAGCATAAGCAGAACAGGACGATCTGCCCAGACCTGGTTGCTGCTGAGGACCTTGACACTAGTCACTGGTATAACTGGATGTTAACCGTGTTTGCCTTCTTCTTGCCTTTGCTGACGGTGACTCTGTGCTATGTGCTTATTATTTACACCTTGGCTACTGGACCCCACACAGGGGCTTGCTACAAACAAAAGGCTCGCAGACTTGCTGCTGTCCTCTTGGTGGTCTTCTATGTGTGCTTCCT